CTGCGTGAAAAGATTCGAATGTGATGTTTGGAAACTTGACACCAGCTTTCTTTAGAAGAGGGATTTGATCTTTAACAGCGCACCGAAAAAGAAACGGCGTTGTATTACGAGTTTTACTAAGAAACAAAAATGTGAGAACATAATTTCGTTTAGCTTAATAAACTTATCGATGACTGAAGCAACGAAAAACGATTTCCGGTAATAACATCACTACGAAGTTAAGTAACTTATCTAATCCTGAAACTTGCTATAAATATAAAATAATTATTTCCACATTTAGAACGCCAATTTCCTGCCTAAAAATTTCAACTCTAGAATAGCAAAGGCATAGAGAAGTAGCGAAAGAAAAAGAAGTTGAGTAGGCGTCGAGTCGCGGCACTGCACGGCGATTCACGTTGCGAATTAGTCCGCGGCAACAACGTCTCGGACCGAGTCTGGAAAGCGCGCCGCGCCGGAAGGTGGAGGTCGGGGCTGCGGGCGCGGGTGAGCCGTGGTCTTCGCCGCGCGGCCAGCTGGCAGGGGAGATAGGGCGTGTTTGCGCGCCGGGGCGCTAGGGCGGCCAGGGGACGCTAGTCGCGGGCGCGGGCGCGGGCGCCGCAGCTGTGCCGGAGCTCACCTGCCGCATAATCGCGCTTATCGGAGTGCGGGCGGGCGACGGCCAACGCCGCGCGACGGGTGATGAGCGGCGCGCGGACACAGGAGTCGGCCGGACGGGAAGGCACGAGCGAGCGGGACACCGACCACAGGACGGGAAGACGGAGGAGTCGGGGAGATGACACACTCTCCACGGCAAACTAAGAACGGGTGGGCAGCAAGAACGGTCGTGTACCGTGGGAGAGAAACCGGAAAGGGACAGAGACCGGTAGAGTTGTGATGAGCGGCGGCCAGAGATGGAAGAAGCGCCACAGGTAGCGGGGGCAGGTGATGGGCAGTAAGCGGCAGGCGCAATGTATATAGCGGACTAGCAGGTTGCAGATTAAAAGAAGGATAAAAGGGGGGAAGACCACATAGAGCGCAATAACAAGGTATAAGAAAAGAGTTTACACACCAACATGTAAACAGACGAGTAAATTAATAAGTATCAAAACAAAAGGCAAAGAATGGTAAAGTGTGTAAATTAGGCGGAAAGCGGATAAATAAGAGGTCGAGGACTTTACAAAAATTTCATTTGATGATATTGGCAAGAGGCGCAAAACTGCGTATACGTTCCTAAGAAGACGTGTCAAAATTTGATAAGCAATCGACGAAGATATAAAGGTATTCGGTAGGTAGATGACGAGGTGTCAGGGGGCCAAAAGGCAATTAAGTAGATGGGAAGTCGGCACGAGACGAGCTGAACACACGGGCGCGCGGCGCGAAGCGGGAAAATCCTACGAGAGCGGGAGCTAAGAGGCCGAAGAGTTGCACTTCGCGCCAACTGTTCGCGAGACATCTAGTCAGAGATCATTTTTCACCGCGCCTGCGATCTCTTAACCGCAAGAAGATTGGGCCAGACACGAATACAAACCGATGGAGCAGAAATAGAAGCAATCCCAGTTTGGGACGCTAATAAAGTATTTTCAAAATATCCAAACCGTGTGTTTGATAAGTCATTACCCCCCAAAAGGAACCACAAAACGCTTTCACCGTCAGAGTTCTATTGAAAATTAATTTTACTACCGACAAAAATATATTACTAAAAACTACTATTACCGCTATAAAAATGTATTGTTCACCAAAAAGGTCGGGTGATTTTACCTAAATCAGTAGCAATTATTTTATTTCCTGTGAATCGTAAAAAGACGGAAGCGTGCGTTAGTTTCTGCATTGATAAAATCGTTTCCTGGCAGATAGAAAATTAGATTCCAGATTGCTTCAATAATTGTAGGCACTGAAATAAGCTTTCTTAACATTCAAATTGTACTATCAAAAATTGTCATTTAATTTAGCCATGTATTCTGCACATGATATCAATGCTCTTCAAATTACATCGAAAGTTATTAGCGTTTAACCCAGATAGAGGTTGCAATAAAGCGCGGTTTACTGGGAGCTAGACGGGAATTGGTAAATTTTTGATTGCTAACTCTCCTTGTACAACTAGCCAACTTGATTAACAATTTCATGGACTTGCTCCGTACCACACACAAATTGACCTAGTATCATTTTTCTACGCACTGCGTTCCTCTGCAATACTTCATCGCACGAGGATGAGCACGTACTTTCATTCGCATTTTAAATTTCTGCCCATAAAAATCACTACATTAATAATAAAAAGTATACTTGCCCCAACACGACAAATAATGTAGTGTCATTTATCTTGGCGTATTTAACTCAAATTATTAAGCTTTTAACTACAACCACCTGTTACGAGTATAATGGTAATGATTACTTTTACGACACCGATCAAGTGAACACTTTCCAGGGCTGAGATAAATAAAAAAGATCCTGAAATTTGCGTTCACTTGTCTACAGTTCTTAATAATATAAAGCATTTTAATACCGTTTCTCAGACTGGCAATTTAAAATACTAAATTCAATCTAGAAATGATGCATTACAACAATCATTTTTTTCCATCACTAAACTTTAAACAAAAATATTATTTTTATTTCAAGAAAAAGAAAACATATTTTACTACTGACTCGGAAAATGATCCCACACATTTCAAAGAATTGTATCATTGTTTTGCTCTACAGACATGGATTTAAATCTATTATATTTATAATATATCTCCAAAGAAAATTTTTGCCCCCTTCGATATCAGTTTGGAAACATTCTCTAATGATAAAAGGTTGTGATATTGTTGCTATAGCTTTCAAAAAGAAACTTTCTCAAGAATCTTGATTTGATTATGCGTTTCCTTCAACAGTCAAGATGTGGATTGCAGAACAGTATACATGTTAGAAAAATATGTTTAATACTTATGAATATCTCTAAACCAGATAATTAATCATTTCCAAGAAAAATTGTATTGCTCTGTCAACGAAAAATAAAACATAATGCATAAATGTATTAAAAAATAATTATTAAATAAAGTATACCAGACGAAAAGTAACTGCCCGCTCTTCTTACTGAATGCAACTAATCGTGGCACTTGATACTCTGAAGAATCAGCTCGTTCTCCTAATTTCGAAGAGTTCGCGCACCACTCAACATTTTTGCCACAACAATCCCATGAATCGTGAGCCTTTCACGCGTCTCGCCCGGAGAGGGACCCTTTCAAAAAGAGGTAAGAAGAGTATTAAGGGAAGTCGCCACAGCGCTCCTCCTGGCAACAGTTTCCAAGAAGACACACCCCACCCCACGAGGAATGTCTCCCTCGCCTTGCGAGCAACCTGATACATTTGAGGCGGCGTCGTGCGTGCGTGGGAAGGCCTTCGGTCGGCGAGATGTGCCCCGGGGGGACGGGGGGGGTCATTATTGTGCGGCGCGCCGCTCCTTTGCCTCCAAGGCGACGCGCCGCGACGACGCCACGATCCAAAAACCGGGATGTCTCACCTCAGCTGCGACGTCGCGAAGCGCGCGCCTCGCGAACCGCAACTCGTGAGCGCGCGACAAACACACACACCTGCCGGCGCGGGGAGCTCTCTCGGCCGCTCAGCAAGGTGGCAGTGCGAGGGCGGCCACTCATATTACCGCAAAGGGGGCCGCCGCCGTGCTTTGCAGGCGCCCGCGTGTTCTCTCTCTCTCACTGAAACAACTGCCTCGCATTGTTGGCGACATGCAATCATGAGTTACCTTTCGTCCAGCCGATCCGTCGGGAACCGAGTGCGATGGCTCTCGCCTGGCACGCTGTTAAGCAACTCTCGGGGCTCTCAGCGTTAGTAATATTTTGAAGGTGGTATAACGAAATATCATTCAACAATATACTTCAACATTTCATTACCATTCCTCTACAATACAAGCAGAGTATTTCTAATACGGTTGAAACAATTTCTACTTTTCAAAACTAAAATAAAGTACTAAGACAACACAATGGGAATAAGTACAAGTACACCATTCATTTAAAGTGTATCATGTTTCATTTTCATCCCTTATTTTTGTAAACAATTTGTTTGTTTACATGTGATAAAATATTAATTTTATACTCCTAAAAATATGCGTTTTCAAATACATTTTAACAAAAAAGGAGATTGTTTTTGCAACACAGAGAAGAATACATATAAGATTTCTTAAGCAGGAAGAAGTAGTCACGTGATATTATCGGCAATTTTGATACAACGGGTCACATGGTGACATAGGAAAACACTTAATTATTCTAACAACTACGACGTCACAAAGAAAAGAAAAATAAGTTGACAAACGACATACGCAAGCGAATAGAACAATGAGAGGAGGACAGAAGATACAGAAGTGCGAGAAGAGCAAGCGTGAAAGAAGCTATTACTGTTTACGCGAGGGTATGCGACGAGCGTGCTGGGAGCATGCGACAGAACGCGACTCGTCAATCGTTCCATTTGCGCCTTACAAGATCTACAATAAGATAGGTTCACACACAGCACTTCGCTGATAATCTCCGCGTTCTAGACACACGGATTTCACATTGGAAGGCATTTTCGATTAAGCAACGCCACTCACCTAACATGCTTTTATCAAATCGCTTTTGCTCTAACAACTTTCGCTTTAAAATTCGTAAACACAATCTACATACAAAATAAACAGTCTACTAAAAATTGATCACGTCAAGCCGTACTTTCGTGACATTATTTAGCTTTTTCGCACTGTTTCGTTCTACTTTCTATTTTTATTACTTTTCTTCACGAATACACTACATGCAAAATGAAGTGATAAGCACATTTTGGCAATGTCTGCCCTCTGTCCGCAAACTTGGGAAACTGCAAGCAAACACTCGAAACGCGGGAACTTGAGTAAGAGCTAACGTGGAGTGTGAGAAAATCAATAGTGCAAGTGGCGAGGAGGCAGGACTTGGGTTCGATAATGGATCCACAGTGTATGTGTCGGAATGAGGCACGCCCCCCGCGTGCCGGCCATGTGCTCACAGCGAACTGCAAGGAGTACTCACCTGCCAGGCGTAGAGCGGACATCCGCTGGAACTCGGGCTCCTGCAACCATTTCCACATACGACGAAATGTCTCACGACCTGACTTCAGCTTTGACCAGGGCTTCGGGTTCCGCAGGAGATCGGAGAGCGTGCCTTGAGAACGACATAACACGCGCTGGGCAAAAATCGCCTGCGGAATGCTGTACCTCTTCAGTTCAGCACTTATTCTCTGAGCTAATTCCTTCGTGTTAATTTCCTCCACCTCACTGGCCCCCGCTCCCGTCCCGACACCTAACCCAACACCTCCACTGCCTACCAGACCGCCGCCGCTAGACGTAGGTACTGTCTTGACAGTAACAGTAGTCGGTGGCGGTTGCTGTTGTTGTTGCGGCTGCTGCTGTTGTGGCGGTTGTTGTTGCTGTTGAGTTACGAAGCTGGGAGGTGACGGTGAAGCGACAACCACGTTCTCTCGCTGTATCTGCTGAGCGACCAGTGGAGGTGGAGAATGATGGGGTGAAACCACCGCCGAATGCGGTGTGATTGTTGCCAAACCGTTGATTGTTGGTAGACTAGCGGTAGGGAGCGGAGTTGTCGTGCCCACAAAACTTGTCACAATAGAGTTCGGGGGTGAATGGAGCGAAGCCGACGGCGGGCTCAATGTCGGACTCTGTTGAGCCACGAGTGTGGTTCGTCCCACTAAGTCACGTTGAGTGTAAGGTGAGTCGTAACTGTTAGGAGACATGCTTTTCTGTGGCGAATGTAGACCATTTTGACTGTATGAACTTTGAGGAGAAAGAGGGGAATGTTGTTGTGGAATGCTGATGGTTCCTAAACCATTGTTCGGAGAAGAATAATGATGCGGCGGCGACATTCCCATCGGAGGAAGTTTGTCGTAACTATAAGAATTGACGCCCATACCAAGCCCTATGTTACCAAGTCCGTTGTTCTGCATAACCGTAAAAGAACCAGACACATTACTCGCGTGCCCGTACGCAAATTTTTCTGACATGGTAGAAATGGGAGGAAGTGGTTGCAAAGGTGTGAGGGTAGCGTACGACGAACTGGGGCTAAATCCAGGCGGTGACATTCTGCCGTTCACGGAGGTCAAAGTCTGATACGTTGGCTCCGGTTGAAGAGTACGAAAATCTGTGGCGTCAATCATACTGGCAACACTAACAGAAATACCCGAAGTAGGCGAAAGTTTGCCCGGGCTTAGCAGTTCTGAATCATGCGAATCGTCCTGTGGCTGTACTATCACAGATAGGCTCTCTTGCTTTGTAGTATCGCTCCCTAGACTGACGGCTCCTTCCGCTGATAGGTCTTCGGCACTAGTCGGTAGCTCTTCCTTGATTTGAATATGAGTCTGCTCTCCCGACCCCGACTCTGTGAGTGACTCGTGGGAAGTGGGCACTGACCCAGCCACGGCAGAGCGTGAAATAGTGGGGCTGAGCTCCGTCGGAGACATGCTGAGTCCGGCATGCGTAGATGCGGCTGGCGAATCGACCGACTCCGGTAATGGTTCGCTAAGCGACTGCTGTTCGGCCATTTCCCCCATATTTTCCATCTTCCTTCATGCACTTATCCGCACAAACAGCACTCACCAATTCTTCAAACTTCACTCCACACACTGATCACAATTAAATTAATAACTGAAGTCCCTGGTCAAAGACTTTACCTTCGGAAAAGTCCCATACACAAAATTTTCACCATCCACCAGACGTCCATATTTGTATGCTGTGCCAGTGCGCATTCAATTGCGCAACCTCTACTGTCGCGCCGGATGAAACGAACGACAGTCGCCACTCGCACCCCGGAGCACCCGTTCACACATCTTGCTCACCCGGCCTCCAGAAGTACAGTAACGGGGGAACTCAACGGCCCGGTAATCCTAGACTCGCCCCCTTTGTGAGCAGCTGGTTTCGCGGCCTCTCAGCTGTCCGGGCGACGCGCCCCACCACCTCCGCGTGTACCCTCCACCCCAGTGTCCCATTCACTGCACCATGCCAGTCGCCAGCTGCGAACGCAATGGCTCCCGCTCACACCGCATGTTCCGTTGTGGCTATTGTCTGACAATTGCTGCCTTCAGGACTTGTTCCGATGAGATTGGAGGGCACAATCTTATATTAATCCAACTTTGTGGCGAATTCTCAATAAGATTGGTAACTGTCACTCTTTCTATCGCACATTACGACGAGTTTACGTCCCAGTACACTGGAGCACATGGCTAAAGCATGGATATTGATTCAAGACAGACGAAAATCCGATAATTTTAAAGCCTTAAAATCAATAGCAATTACCATGTGGCCTCAGAACACCGTTCCTCCCTTGGCAGAAACGTTTCTAGTTTCAGTGTGTGTAAAGATTCATAAATAAACCTTATTCTGACGTAAGTACAGTTGCATGATAAGTGACAGTTGTAGTTATTGTAGAAATGTTTCATGAGTTCGCTTCCCTTCTTACCGTCTAGGATACCACTATGGTTTCACGTAAACGTCCGAATTATTACAAAGTGTATTGTTTTGTCAAACGATTTTAATTTAACAAAACTGTGATCAGGTTTGAATGTAGGAACCTGTTGTGTTAGTGGTCAAAATTCTTTTAGTGAAAATAGAACCATACCTACAAGCATGTATTTATTATTTTCTTTTTTGTTTGCATAAACTGTTTATTTTAATTCTCAAGAATTAAGTTGTAAACCTTCTATAAAAATATTTCACTAAAAATATGGTACTGTCTGCAATACTAATATTGCTTGTCATTGAAGCTAAAAAGTACAGATTTAGTTATTTAAATGAATAGATATTCTCAATATCTAACACTTAGGTGTTGACAAAATAAAGCATTTGTGAAGGTTCATAATGTTTTATGTGTCAAAGAAAAAAATCAACAAAACTGTTTTTTATAATTCAACGTTAATCAATTTTTTTCTTTCATTTTGCAAACAGATATTTTCTGGAGAATTTATTAAGAGATGATATACATTTCTGTAATGAATTAAAATTATTCGGATCTTCGCCATTACTAAAAATATAACAGTAACGTAGTGTAATTTTGTGTACTTGTCGACAATTATATGTACCCCTAAGACAACAATTCATATTATTCTCTAAAGCTGAAAATCATGTTAAATTCCAGAATGTATTTGTATGCCTTCTGATTTATATTTTCATTGTTTTATAAGTTACTTCTTTCCAAAACTGTTGTTCATGGGTACAGAATCAGACAAATCTTATTCATTCATTTAAAATCCTCATTAGAGAATAAATAGTAGAATATGAAGTGCAAATTATGGCAAACAAAATTATATAGTCAGTGATTCTGCTATCTGCAAATCTCTCTCTATTAGGGGTGAGGGTAAGAGAAGAGGGGAAAAGAATAAATAAAATTACTCGTGGTCAGTGAAAGATGTAAGCAAGACTTTAAAAAACTCATTATTAAGATTTTTTTTGAAAATACTAGATTATAATAAGAAGCAAAGAATAATATTAATTATCTTTTTTAAAAATTTCATATAACTCGTCAGTTGTTTTTTTTTAGTTTGTTCTCAATCTCCGATGCTTGTGTAGAAGAAACACCAATTTATTTTATAAATGATGATTTATTTTATAAATGCCCAAAATATTACCTTTTGATAGCTGTATAAAAATTATTTGATACCATAATAGAGAAATTGTTAATATTCTGGGAAATAGATATAACTTGCTGGTGGTTATTTTCAGTACATATATTTGACAAATAATATACTGAGTCACTTCATGTACTTTAGAATGACCACTATATAATCTGTGAATGGTGAGTGCCATATTAATTTTTGTATATAAGTGACAGAAGAGACTTTCACCGTAATGTTGTTCCCTTTGCTGAGTGATCACAGTGGTGTCTGCAACTATACATAAAACATTGATTTTAGAATATTGAATTTTCTTGATGCAATGTTTTCTATTTGTGAATCTTTGTACTATTTCTTATCTTACTTGCACATCACTTGAACAACATACCTCCAATTCTTATATAGATCTTCCTCCCAAAATTCACTGCCGTAACTATACCTTTTGGATCGTGTATATTCTGTTAGAAATGTTTCTACAAGATACTTGGGGTGATAGGGAACTTTTATCACTTTAAGAAGTGTGTGCTTATTACTTTAAAAAATTGTACTTTTTGAGAGAATCAGTGTGATATTACAAACTCTTGCATTGCAAGAAAGACTACTGATAATTTGGGATACTCGAATTGTTTACGTGTTATCATAGTCATTGATCCCATATCATTGGGTTACTAACAAATGATGTTATGTAAAGAGGCTGTTTTGAGAAAACTTAACCCGATTCTAGGAGTTTTGCAAAAACTTAACCTGCTTCTAGGAAAATAAAAGAAACACATTTAATATATTTCACAAAACAAAAAAGCAATTTTTTCAACAAAAATGTGACTTAGCGGATATCATAAAGAAAACATTACAGTGGAAAAATCAAATAACTCAAAACTTGAAAATCTTGCTTTAATACATTTCACATGTAAGGGTTTAGTATATACACTGTAGGTCATTTTACAAACTGAAGTGATTACAACTGTGTTTGTATTGTTATTGCATGTTATTTACGCAAAATGAAATGAATATTTTATTGAATGAAATTTTCAATACAATATAGATGTCAAAAGAATGAAAACAGTATAATAATACACGTTAGTCATACCTGATAATGTATCATCAGATAATTTATAAATCACATATACTATTTAATTAAACGCTTATTTAGATTTCATTATAGAATGAGTGTAGTGTAATAAAAAATATTTCTTTTAGGAATATACTAGAATTCGAATTCTTTCACTACCTATAAGTCACATGAATTAATAGCTAGTTATTAATTAAAATAATTGTTCGTTTTGTGCTATTGATACCATGAATTACTTACTGTCATGTCAGACACAGCAAACGTAATTTGCAATTTACTTTAATGTGGCTCTATGTAGCAGCCTCTGTCTTAGATACAGAAACTAAATTTCCACCAATAAATTTTAATTTCATACTAACTGTCTATTCTAATTTTAAAAAATGGATATTTGTAAGCTTAAAAAAAATTCTCTGATCTTTTCTATTATTTTCATTGAATTTTTCTCAATATTTACTCACCATATTTTAGTATAGTTTTGAGGCATTTTGTCTTGGGGGTTTTTATGTTAAAAATGTATCCCCTGTTTGCAAATGGATAAATAATCTTCTTTCTTCTGCAATTGTTTTTACTTCCCGTAGAAGGTTAGTCTTGTGAACTTCATCTATTATGATATGAGAAGTTTTCTGGAAAAAATTAAAATATTCAGGTTTTGATTTTGAATATTTTTTACTTATTATATTTATATGTATTTAATTAACTCCTTAACACTAACTTTTATTTATTTATTATTATTATTATTATTATTATTACTATTGTTGTTGTTATTGTTATTATTTTCTTTTTTTTTTTTTCTGAATTTAGTTCTTATTTGAAGACCTAATGATTTGTGTGAGTGTTGTGCCTAAGTTTTATCTCTTAATTGCAAATGGATTAATATTTTTCTTTTTCTGCAATAGTTTTATTCTTGTTTGTGTTTCTTTCTTTTCTTCTATCGTTACTGTTCTAATTACTTGTCTGTAGAGACACAATGATGCATCATACTCAGAGGAAGAAATATTCAACTAAAACAAGTAATGAACAAATATTGTAAGTTTTGAAGCTGCATCTAATGAAACCAAAACATTAAATGAGAAATACATTCTTCTGTGAAATTGACTTTGTCTTTTAAGCATGCCATTGAAGTAATTGGATAAAAAGTTTTTCTTGACCATTATAACAGTGATTGATGGCTAACGATGACTATTATAATAATGGTCGAGATTTATTTCTCATGGTATGATTTAACAGACATTAACATGGTATTGATTTAAAAAGTTTTTAATTGAAAAAGCTAATGTAATGGATTCTCCTGAACTTCATGAGTCTTGTAAATAAATTCAGTACTATTTTTTTTTTTTAATTTACTAAATAACATTTAAATCTAAGCAGTTAAAGTTGCAAAGTTTTCTTACTTTCAGACTTTCCAAAAATGATTTCTTGCAATTTAAAACTTAACATTTGTGCCTAGTTTGAAAGACACTTTTTTTAGCAATACGTAATGTTAATATTTTCTTTATACAACTGTAATTGAATGAGAAAAACGAGAACTAGAAATAAATAATAAATGACTCATCATAAAAACTTTCAATTAAAGGTTATCTATTTTGATGTCAATGATGATGTCGTGATGATGATAATCTATCAATTAATTAAACACCACATTCTTGAGCTTTTGTGTGATTTATTTTTCAAAAAAGGCATTTTTGATGAGTGCTTTCTCCAGTGAGTATTAGATGGAAAACTAATAAATATAATTTAATTGGCTTTGACTAAACACTTGCCATTACTACATCGTCCTTGCTATTCTAAAGTTTTATACAAATATTTTTGTCCGCCGCAGCCCCTCAAACGTATTGGGAGGAAGCGGGATGTGAGGGGGCTACTCCTCCCAAAAACAGCATCGCGCAGCTGACTGGGCCGGCAACTGGTGGACGGACATCGGTGCCACTGAAACCGGAAGAGTGGGAACAGGATGCGTTATAGGATTGCACTTGCTTGGTTTCTCAGCGGTTGTCTGGTCGGGCGCGTTGTGTCTATGGGATCCGAAAAAGATAAACGAGAGTGTCTATGGGAGCCCGTTGTTTAGACACGAAACATTTTCAATAAGAAAGGAAATAATGACAATAACGAATGTACTGGTGAATTAGTGATGAACTGAAGAAATGCTTACAAACCTTTAATTAATTTATCATCTCGATTGAAACAAGTATTTTGAAATCGACACGATGCATGTATCTCAATTCCTAATATTCGTTTCGTATTGACGACGAAGCAAATTACAAGGTTCAAGAAATTGTTAAATTTCTCTAAAAAAAATACCCTTTTTAATACTT